AAATAACCTCCTAGAAATACCAACCAACCAAAACCTCAAAAAAGCCACAACCAACCATTAACCATAAACACCCACCACACCCAACATAACTAATAGCCAAACCAACCACAAAAGCAACAACAAACCCCCCAACCATGGTTTAAAATTACGCAATAAGAGTCGCACCACAACACAATTTCATTTGTTCATACCTCAAAGCCTACGTAATGAGACCAGCGATTGAGGCGTACACCTCAAGTTTACTGAGGCGCACCTAGGTTCGGGTTTTAGAGGCGTCAGTTTCTTAAAATTAAAAAAAATCCTAACCTAATATTTATCTATTTGGTTCACCCCTAGCTCTTCGTCGGTCATTTCTGAACCGAACCGAGGGTTTCTTCTCCCTTCTTCTTCGAGGGACATTTTCCCCTCTTCCTTCCATTCGACCAGCGTCAACTTCTTTACAAGCAAATGATATAATTATCAAACGATCTCCGTGTAATTTCATTTAATGTTTTAAGCACTAATTAAACTCCTTTATCCATGTAATTTCATTTAATGTTTTAAACATTTATTTAAAAGTTGTTCTTTAAGCACTAATTAAACTCCCTTATGTAAATCTTAGTCGAGTGATGGATTTAGTTTGGTGATGAGACTCCAGAATTGTAGTGTTTTGCTGTGAAAGTTAGGCTTAACATGCTCTTCATCTGATTGTGAATGAAATTGGAGTACATACAAAGAGAAGAAATTGTTTGTCGACATTAATGATGAATTCGCTGGTGTACATTATGTACAATAGGAGACTCAAAGACAATAATTTGAAGAAAAAAATGATTAATAGATGATGAAGATTCTTTGTTTTATAAGGATGTGACATTTCATGATGAGTGATTTATATATGATGAAGTTAAAGTGATGTCGTCTGAATTATAAGATGAAGATTTAAATGTTGATTTCTTTGATGGTCATAAAGCATCTACATCCACCACAACTCAATAACAAATCAAAATAGATATTTAAATAATATAATTTTCTTAGACTTTTATTAATATATTTCACTATTATTCATTTTGATATTATTTAAAAAATATTTAAGGAAGAGGAAGATAGCTGATATTAAAAAGCTGATCGGGAGACAATAGGCTCTATAGAGAGGAAGGGGAGAGCAGTTCTTCATAATGATTCAAATGAAGACCCTCTTAGTGATGATAGTGCTGATGACTTATTAGTTCTTATGCAATATGTCATTGTTATTTATTTTTGGAATTATATGTTAATGAAAAAAATATTGTGATTTGAGAAAGATAGAATTTGAGTTGAATTTCATGTTGTATTATTATTTTGATTTCACTTCATATCTCGTATATTTTATATTATATACTAATTAGTATATAAAAAATTTATATACCTCTTTTCTTTCTCTCATGACATTAGCTATAATGTGAAGAAAGAAGACATGTGAGATGATTAAAGTAATTAATTGATTATGTCTTTAATATAAAATTTATAGTTTTATATTAACATTTAGAAGAATTTAACCTAAAATAATTTATTTAATAATTATTAAAAAAATTTGAACCGGCCGATTTTTAAAAACCCGGACCGGTTCACTGGTTGAACCGGCGGTTTTGGCCAAAACCGACCGGTTTGAAGAGAAGGCGGTTTTAGGGGTGAACCGAACCGGCCATCAGACTGGTTCACATTTGAACCGGCCGGTTCGGTCCGATTTTTAAAGCATTGCTCAAAACCACTTGAGGCTTACGCCTCGCCTCACGAACGAAAAACGTCTCAATACCCGATTACACAATTTTAAACATTGCCCCGAACATAAAGGGAAATGGAAAATCAAGCATTCCATAAAGAGATTTAAAATGATTACACCACAGCCAAACTCAAACTCAAACAACCACAATAAAGACTAAACATAATAGTATACTGAAAACCAAATGCACAATCAACAAAAACAAATGCTCCAACAACGATAACCAGGAACGAATATAAGGCAATCTAGATTAATTAATCCTCTTAATAAAAAAGGAATATCTGTATTAGTGAATAAAGTCAAATGATGCAACTCAAAACAAATTTTAGCCAAGAAATCAACACAAGAATTACCTTCTCTCTAAATATGAAAAATATTATAATCTAATTGAGAAAACATTCTTTTAATATCTTTTAAAATAAACAAATATATCATAATTGCCAAAACTATTATACGAAAGAAAATTAATGACTAAATTATCATCAATTTCAATCCAAATCCTTAAAAAACCTTTGGACAAACAAATATGAAGATCTTTATGAATAGCCATCAATTCAGCATGAATCACATTACATTTTTGAAGAGGAGAAGCAATGTCAATAACCAAATTACCTTTATAATATCTAAGAATGCCACCATAATTAAATTTATCCATATTAACAGAACCATCCGTATTGACTTTGATAATATTCACATTAGGTTTTTTTCCAAATAAAAAATTTAAAACAAATATAAAAAAAATAATCCAATATGTTATTACTAAAATTCTTAGCAACCAACTTGAAACCACAAAATTGCTTATTCTTAATTAAATCAGCCTTATATCTATTAATTTTTTCCTTAGTTCTAGCAATAATTTTCTTGTGATTCATTGGAATATTCCTGTACTTAGCATCATTCCTATCCATCCAAATGAAAACATACAAGACAAACAACAACAATAATTTTTATATGGCCTCTTATAGTATTATGGAAAAGAACAATAAGAAAATAATTAAAGGTTAAATGACCACTGAAATAATTAGTGTTAAAAAAATTTTCATACCAAATCCATATTCTTGAAGCAATAGGACCATTAACAAATACATGGTTAATGTTTTCAATATTAAAACAATAATAACATTTAGAGGGAATGTAAAATCCTTTACTCCCAAAAAAAGAATCCACAGGAATAAATTTCTTTAAGATTCTGCAAGCCAAAATATAATAAGAAATAGGAATATTATTACTCCAAATTTTCTCATAAACAATAGATTTATTAATTTTATCTCTAATAAAATGCCAAGCATCTTTAAAAATGAAATTCACAATTTACCACCTCTTGTCTTAATATCTAAATTATTCACAATTTCTTGAGTAAGCAAAATATTATAAAAAATCAGTCTACCTCTCACAAAACCAATTTGGTTAGGTGATATAATACTAGGCAACAAAGGTCCCAATCTCAAAGCTATAATTCTTGAAATAAATTTATTGAAAAAAGCCCATAAACTAATTAGTCTAAAATCACTCCAAACTTCCGGATTATCCTTTTTCAGAATCAATACAATAGCAGTTGAAGTAAAATTTTTAGGAATAGAATTTACATCAAAGAAATCCAAAACCGCTTCTATCAGATCATGCTTAATAATAATCCAATAATTTTGAAAAAAAAGAGAAGTATGTTCATCAGGACCAACATTAGACTTAACATTCATGTTGTTAAAAAATATATCAAAAAAAAGTTCTAATCACCGAATCTTTTATTAATGCATCCGAGATCCAGTCACCATTCTCATCCTTGATTTTCTTAATACAATTAATGGATTTCTTTTTGCTAACCAAAGCATCAATATATTTGATATTTCTATCCCCATCAGATATATGCTTAGAAAAAGCTTTTTGTCTCCAAAAAGTTTCTTCCATGTTTTAAAACTAAATAAGTTGGTCCTTAGCAACATTTAACTCATTTAAAAAAGAAGGATAAAAAATAAAAATATTTTCTAAATAACAAACCTTCCTCTCCATTATTTTAATGTTAGCAAAAATATTTTTGAAATGATACTTATTCCACCAATTAAGACATTGTTTTAAACGCTTCAATTTTAGCCCAATTCTAATCACACATTTAATTGAATTATCAAGAGCAATACAAGCATTCCAATTAGATTCAACCACCCTAAAAAATTCAATATGTTGAATCAACATATTCTAAAATATAAAACTAAGGCAACCATTCTAAGAAATATTATCCTTCTCAACAAAAATCAACAGAGGGCAATGATCAGATAAGCTTCTATTAAAATGTTCTATAGAAGTAAAAGGTCATTTAGCAATCCATAAATGATTGAATAGAATCATAACCAATCTTTGCCATAATCTATTATTATTCCAAGTAAAAGTTGATCCCACTAAACTACTATCAGCCAAATTACAATCAATAATCATATTTGAAAATTCTTCCGTAGAATTCATATTAGGAGGACAACCCCTATCATTTCATTAGCATGAAAAATTGTATTAAAATCCCCTCCAACAACCAAGGATCATTAATATCCAATGCAAAAGAACAAATTTGGTTCCAAAGAATTCTTCTATCATATCTATTACAAGCAGCATATATTAAAGACCCCTTAACAGTAAAATCAAAATAGGTAATAGACACATATACCACTTGAGGAAAATCTTCTATAACATTTAAAGAAACATATTAGACGAAAATAACCAAATTTTATTAGAAGAATTAGAAAAAAAATGCTTGAAACCTAGTAATCTATCAATATGCATAATTTTACAAACATTAATCATAGGTTCAACAATAACTAGCAATTCAATCCAATGAATACTAAATAAATTCCTAACTCTATTTCTAATAGAGAGAGAACCAATCCCTCTAACATTCCACACTAGAAAGTTAATCATTTATTTTTGAAAAGGAAAAGATTAATTTAAAGATTTAGGTCCTATTAAGAACTTAAAATTCTTTTTCTTATGTCTATTATTATAAACAGAATGAAAAGTTTTTGACTTACCCACCTCCAAATCATAATCACTAAGCACAGCAGAATTAAATTCACCTTCCTCCATTTCCTTATTCTCTCCAGCATTTTCACAAGAATTACCATCCGTAAAAGAAATAGTAGCTTTATTGAAATCACACTCACTGTTTTATTTTTTCATCATTTTACTAACATCATTGAAAGCCTTCACAACAGGCAAATCCTTCACAACAGAAGATGAAGTAATAGAAATAAAATCATCTTGAAAATTAGAATGTAAAGAATCATCAGAAAAAAAACTTCAATTTTCAAAGCAAGATTTTTCTCATAAGCAACCATATCCAAAATTTTTCCGTTCTTAAGAGAATCTAAGATATCTGAATTATTGTTAACTAGATTAACATCATTCAGATCTATTAGTTCTTTTAAATCTTTCTCCACATTCTCTAAATAATCATTTAGAGAAATAATCATTTAGAGAATTATCAAGAATCTCTAAACCCTAAACCCTAAATTTTAGTAAAAATATGTTGCTTAAGATTTTTCTCTTTCGATGAAGGATTCAAAATAAAACAACTACTCAAATCATGCCCATGTAATTTGCAATGTGTACAGAAAATAGGAAATTTATCAAATTCATTTTTCTGAATATAACCAGAAGAATCTGAACCAATCCAAATGTCTTTTCGAAAATCTTTAGTGATATCAATTTCCACTAAAATTCTTGCCACATAAGGCCTCAATTTATTGGCTGTTGCTTGATCAACCTGTAATGGTCTCCCAAAAATGAAACCAATCACTTATAACACTTAAGCATTGAAAAAATTCATACGTAAGTTTGATAAAGAAATCCAAACAGGGCAAGGAGGTGATTCAGCATGTATATGAAATTTTGGAGACCATTTTAATAATCTCATTTGACAGTTTCTCATATAATATGATCCTTATAAGAAAATTCTATTATAATCCAAATCATTCGAAAGATATATAAATACATGTCTAGCATCCAAAAGGCAAACAGAAAAAATACCCGTGAGATTCAAACTATGAAAAAATTTCCTAATTTCTTCCGTATATAAGGCCTTCTGAAAGAAAATTTACTAACTAATGCATATTTGTATGGTTTAGCTAGTTTTCTAATATCCACATCAGAAACAATTAAAGCAAGCATAACATTCAAAGAAGAAGAAATACTAATACCATGATTTTCATTTTTGGGGAGACCATTTAAAGGTTCTATAAAAGATATGGGAAAAGGAATTTTTCTAGGAATATTAGGCGATACATTCGAAGGTTGCGGATTAGAAGATTTCGGAAAATATTCAGAAATTTTCCCTTCCATTAAGGCAGTAGAAGAATTAATCTCATTACCATCACCTTCTTTTAATTTTTGAACTCCACTTACCCAGATCCAAGCAGGATCTTCATCCGAGCAATTAACCGTCAAAAACCCTAGATGGGCCCGAAGGCATAGTACCGGCAAATGCAAACGAATTAAACCAAAATCATAAAAGCAAATGAAGAATCAAACCAGAAATCCACAGAAATTGCTCACTCCAATCGATTCCAACGCAGAAATTGAAATCTCCTCACAATCGCTCCAAAATCACTCCAAGAACGCTCCAAGAAAGTCACCGGTTAAGGTTCCCGATTTAGTTTATTATTTATTATTAGTTATTTATTTATTATTTTAGCTTATTATTTTTAGTTATTATTTATTAGTTATTTATTTTATTAGTTTTAGTTTTATTATTATTATTAGTATATTATTAGTTTATTAGTTATTCAAAAGAATTTAAAAGAATTTTGAAGTATTATTCACACATATACATATTTATTCACCTCATGTTCATTTGATTCAAAAGAATTTAGAAGTAAGATAAGAGCATTTAATAGTATATTTGTATTCACATCTTTCGAAGCCCATATAGATAAAAATGTGACAAATGCAATACAAGGAATTTACACGTTTAAAACTCAAGGGCAAATTTATAGTCATCTCCTATTACAAAAGGTTCAAATGGTCAATGCTACTTTCAATTAAATGTTTATGACACTGATGCTGAAACTAAAAATCAAATGAATGTTATTAAAGATTTAAATATTTTAGTGGCATTGATAAAGAAATTGATGAATATACTTTCTGTAAACCCATAAGCACAATTCTTTAAATTTTTGAGTAATAGAGATATGTTGAAAAACTTACAAATAAGTATTAGATATGATGTAAGAATACATCAAAGAGTTTATAATACCCTAACAATGTCACAAGTTGCAGCAATATGAATTGAAGAACAAAATACATGTTTCATTGAACGTGATATAATATTAACTTCACATTATGAGACATCGTAAAATCAAGCATTACTTTAGATACTATGACCCTTTGCAATATATAATTCTATTCCCAAACGGAGAAGTTGGATGGCATCAAAATGTAAAATGAAATTCCAGATTTGAAAGAAATAAAAAAATAACATTACCGGTAATAAGATCTATCTCCAATAAAAGAATTATTTAGCCAACAGGAAAACAATATGTTATTAAATTTTTTGTATTGATATATACAACAACAACATCAAGCCTTTATCCCACTACGTGGGGTCAACTCCATGAATCCTTTTTCTCCATTGTGTACTATTAAAAGTCAAATTCTCATTTAAATCTAATAAAAAAAAGGTCATTCCTAATATTTTCTAACCAAGTCTTTTTAGGTCTACCCCTACCTTCTTAACATAAGTCAAATCTAATACCTCTACTCTCCTAACCGAGTCATCGGAAGACCACCGTTTTATGTGACCAAACCATCTAAGGCGACTCACTTTAATCTTATCTTCTACTGGAACTACTCCAACCTTTTCACGTATATGCTCATTTCGTATCCTATCTATAAGGGTAAAGCCACTCATCCACCTGAGCATCCTCATCTATGCCACACTTAACTTAGTATTATGCTTCTCTTTGAATGGCCAACATTCGGCACCATAAAACATTGCAGGCCTCACTACCATCTTATAGAATTTTCCCTTAAGTTTGAGGGGTACATTTCTATCACATAACAAGCCCGATGCATTCCTCCACTTCAACCATCCAATTTGAATTCTGCTGATAATATCCCCATCTATTTCACCATTACTCTGAACAATAGATCCAAGATATCTAAAACGTGTACTCTTATTAATAACTTGATCGCCCAAAGTCACAATTAATAACTCTTTTTTTACTCCTTTCTTTTCAAGAACTCTCCATAACACTTCTCTTGGAACTTTATCATATGTCTTTTCTAAATCAATAAATATCATATGTAGATCCTCCTTATTTTCTCTATATTTCTCCATCAAACCTCTTAATAAATGTATGGCTTCCATAGTCGACCTACTCGACATGAATCCAAATTGATTTTGAGAAACATCAGTATCACACCGCAGCCTATGCTACATAACTCACTCCCATAGTTTTAAAGTATGACACATTAACTTAATACCACTATAATTCGCACAATCTTGTGCATCACCTTTATTCTTAAAAATAGGAATTAACACACTCATTCTCCACTCATCTGGCATGTATTTATATATAATAATTAAAAAAAAATTAATAATTAAAATTAATTAATTTTTAATATTGCAGGTATCAAGCAGATATTAAAAGAAACAATTTCATATAGAGAATATTATATTTACAAGCTTCAAATTCGAGAAAATGAGAAATTAGTTATTTTGTATGCTTGTAGATTACTACATTAATATGTTGTCGATATGTATGCGTAGATTGAAACAAGTCGCTTAGACTTCTATAGATAAAATCAACATACAATACGGTCTGATTTGTATATAGGGATTATTGATAGTGTAGCCGTTGGAAGAACAAAAAGTAATAATACTGGTAAAAAATTATACTTTCACCTTCAATCATTGACGGACCTCGTGTATGCTACGAAAATATTTAAGTGCAATGACTCTTTGTCAATGCTTTGGAAAATCATACATGTTTATAACAATGAAATGTAATTATGATTGACAAGAAATTCAAAATGAGTTAAAGCCATGTATATGGGTGTCAATATTTGACACGACACGAAAACCTGACCCGAAAAATTTGGGTTGGACCCGACCCGTTTGATAAACTGGTCGGGTTCGGGTTCGCAGATTCGACCCGTTTGATAAAACGGGTCGGGTTCCGGTTGACCCGGCGGGTTGCCGGGTCCACCCAAAAACTCGTTTAATTTAAAAA